TGTTAGAAAAGGTATTTAGATTTGATGAAGAATTTCTTTGTAGAATTTAAATATTCTAAATATTGTTTAGTTTTGAGAAGTTACATTCTCCAGTGGGGAGAACTATGATAGTTTAAAGTGGCTAAGCCGGAGAAGAGCTGTTTAGTACCGCGTGATTGGAAAAAAAGCAACTCATTTAAAAAGTCTTTTTAGTTTTTAATATTTTTTTGTGGTACTAGAGAAGGAACCCCAGGGCCGCATGCATGCTAGACAAGCAATCTACCACCGACCTACATCCCTCATCTGAAAGCAGCTACATTTTAACCACAGTTAATTCTTGTACTAAAGAAATTTCTGCAACAACAAATAAACACTGCTAGAAGTTTGTCCATCGTGGGGTTTCTTACTGCACTGTATAAAACAACTTAAAGGCATGCTTCCAGGAGAATGTAGGCTTATGCTCGAGTAAGCCTCTGTTAACACTGACTTCCTTCTTATCGATGATTGCTCAGTTAGGTGAGCAGTTAGGTGAGTTTTTCTCCCCTTCGTCTTTCGGTGTTCTGTCATTGCTCTTGAATTTCTACAGGGAGGGCCTTTGTGGAGCTGAGGATCCAACCCGGGGCCTCGTGCATGGCTTACAAGCACCCACACTGAGTTACACCACCACCTAGAGCAAAGCAGGGCTTTGGCTCAGCAGTGCGGTTGGAAGCAGCTCTGTAGGCCTTGGCCTGAAACCCTGCTTGCACAACAAGCTCAACACTTATTAAAATGGCCTTATCCAAACTTGACTAGTCAGGGTGGGGGACTTGAGGTGTCCCCAAAATGCCTTGCCATGTGAATGTAAAGGAGAGAGGGGGACAAATGGATGGGTGCCGCAATCCCTTCACACCTCCCCAAACCTGAGTTACAACCTTCCACTTGGTGCCACTTAAAGTTTTCACAGCCTGCTAAGGGCCCTTTCCTGGAGACCAAGTTTCCAAAACATGGGTTTTTAGGGGACACATTTAAGATCCAAAGGACAGCACCCCTAACTCAGCACTCAGTGTACCTCTGCTGGTGGATAGCCCCGCTTTGGCATTGGCTTTGGAAGTTGTGACTTTACAATTTCTATTTTTGTCAGTGCGTGTTTGTAGTGCATAGTAACTTCACCCCTTGTGTGGAGCTGGCCCATGCATGTGAGGCATCTTAATTCCTTTTGCACCTTCTCCTCCTCCCTTGTCACCAGTCACAACTTCCTGTCCAGCTCCAGCTGCCAGCCATGCTTGTGGAGATCTCTGAGTTCCTCTGCAACGCTCAGACCCCGTTCTGGCTTGGCCCTGTCACCCAGGTCTCCCTCCCTGTCACCTCCGGACTTTTATCATCACTGTGACTGCCTGGCCTCCTCCTGGGTGTCCCTCTGTCCCCTTCGGATGGACCAGCAAACCTCTCATCCTTAAACACATTCCTCCAGTCAGTGGTGGAGATGTCTTCCCTCTGCAGGAGGAAGGTGTCTTTTGATGATGACCCCTTTAGGGGCCCCTTAGGCCACAGTTACGTGAACAGTTGTGCCTCGCTTTAGTCCTGATTTCATTTTCTAGAGTTTCAGGTACCTGTGTTTCTAAAAAAATACTAAATGGAAATGTTCATATTTTGAGAGACAAGGAGCAATTGTATTGCATAACTTTTTATCACAGTATACTATTATGTGTTCTACTCTAATATATTATTATTCTCTTACTATACCTAATTTATAAATTAAACTCCATACATGTACATATGGATAGGAAAAAACACAGCATTTGGATTATCAGTGGATGTGGGCTTCCATTGGCAGTTCTGGAATGGCTCCCTAAGGGCAATATATCTTATTTTCTGTGTCACTGATTTTAAACAGCAAGTGCCTTGAAGTCAGGCGCTTTGTTCTGTTACTTGGTATTCCTGGTGCTTATCATGATGATTGGCAATGAAAAAATATGTCTGTCACATTGGGAGAATGAATGAACGAACCCCCAGACCTCCACTGCCTGGAAGCGTCCACCTGTTCATATGTAGGTCTCTCTGAGAGCCAGGGACCGATGAGTGACTCATGAGACACTCTGTCCTGCACAAGTCATCAAAGAAACAAAGAGTGTGGGCCCCTCTGCGAAGCGCAATCAGTAATCCTTGTCTCTGTAATGCCCCCGCTAAGCCTGAAAGAGAGAAATTCTAAGGACTTGGCTTTGCAGATCTTTCCCTGTCACTCTGTTAAGCCTCCTGCAGCCCCAGATCCCCGCCACTTCCAGTTTTACAAGTTGGGGAGCCTTTCTGTCGTGAAGTGCTTTGTGAGAAAGCATGTCAGGCCCACAAAGGGAAGGGCTGGGAAAGTGATCTTCAAGTCAATGGGATTTGCCTCCCAATAAGAATGACTCACTGTACAGAATGCTGTCAGCCAAAAACAACAATATTCTTTAAATGTACCTATTGTCAAAGGCTCTGGGCGGATAGTCAATAATTACATAATGGAGTTACAGAAGCCCGCAGCTGATGTGGGCTTCTCACTTTTCTTGTTGAATAGGCCTCTCCTACAAAAGCCAAAATGCTAATGAAAGTTCTGGTCAGGGAGCTCAGGTGTGGTCCTGGCTCTGACAAAGATACGAGCTTCTGTTGATGGGACAAGTCCCGGTATCCTGGTACCAGCAGGAAGATTCAGCTCATTTCTTTATCGAGTAGGGGGAGACAATTCAAACTCCAAAGTCAGCTATGTTGGGCTAAAGTCCAGGTTCTTGCCTTATTAGTTGTGTGGACAGATTCCTTCTGTGTGCCTCATTTTCTTCATCTATAAAATGGGTTGAATCATGATGTGATTAGGGTTATTGTAAAGAATACATTAGTCCTCATCTCTGAAGTGCTTCGGTCAGTGTCTGGCACATAAAAAGCAACTGTCCCAGACTTAAGAAGGCTGGGAGTAGGGGTGGGGTGGGTTGTGCAATTGTGAAATCAAATGACAATACCTGCGGGTGCTATTGAACTGAATGCTAAAGATACTTAAACTCCCTTGATTCTAAGCAGTTTTTAGATTCCCTATCAATAGAAAATACTGATAGACATTACTGATTATAAAGGGTGAAAGTTTAATAAGGATAAAAGTTAACAGAAAGCACTGCCAAGTGCCTCTCTCTGGAAATGCACCTACTGTCAGGTATCAGGAAGAGGAAAAGGTTGAGTTCAGAGAAGGCAATCTGGGAGCATTCAGATATCACTTCTCTCAAACACTGAAATGTGTCTGGTTAGTAGGAAGGATACATCTATCACATAGCTTTATTTTCTTGTTAATTAGGTTAGCATTTTTTTTTATCCTATAGGCATTGTCATAGTGATTTTATATTTTATGAGCACATTTCCATGTTAACAACACTTTGGATTCTTAGATCTGTTGTTCTTTAGTGTTCCTTTAAATGTCTGGTCTAAGAAAGTTACGATATCCAAGTTGCATTAAAAGATTAAGTACACTGTATAACTCACTTCTAATAATTAACAGATGGCTCATCTACTTTAAATTGGCTTTGGATGATATTGCATTCCAAATTCTTATTAACTAATCAGAGAGGGTACCAGCTGTAGAATGTGGGTTACCTTTTCAGTTGATTAATCATCAGATATTAAGTGCCTACAGTGGGCCATGCTTTGTACTTGGCCAGCAAGAATAATTGTACGTGATATTCCAGCATTCAGAAAATTTGTAATTTATCAGGGGACATAGCTGCCTTTTTGCCTTGAGTCAAAAAGACTGTTAATTTAAAGCACTTCTATTCTGGACTGACATCTGGATTTCTGAGAAATGTCAGAAGAGTAACTTGATTTAAACTGCTTGTCATCAGCCAGAGATGAGATGGGGTGATGCAGCAAAGAAGTCTGTTTAGAAATGTTTTTAAATTATTGGATTAGTTTCCTGGGGTTACCTTTAAACAAATGACCCCAAACATGGTAGCTTTCAACAACAGTTTGGTCTTTCAAGGTTCTGGAGGGCAGAAGTCCAAAGTCATCCGGCCCCCTCTGGAGGCCCCAGGGAAAGACCATGTTTTGCTTTTCCAGCTCCTGGGCGCTGTCAGCAGTCCTTGGCTTGTGGCGTGGCCTCCTCTGCTGTGTCTACCTTTCCACATATCTCAGATCTCCCTCTGCCTGTCTTTGGTAAAGACACCTGTTATTTAATTCAGAACCCACCCAGGTAATTTGGGAGGATCTCTTAATCTCGGGATCTTTAATTTAATTACACCTTTAGAAGTCTCCCCTACCCAAATAAGGTGACATTTATAGGTGTTGGGGTATAAGTACCATTCAGTCCACTGATGTTCTTTTCTGTATGTTTTCAATGTTTTAATGAAAAATATCCTCAGAAAAGTCTTACATGCCCTATTTTAAAAAGGGGGAGCTGGGGTTGTAGCTCATTATAAGAGGGCTTGCCTAACACGCATGAGGTTTTGGGATCCTCAGTGCTGGGAAATATACAATATGTATATTTAGATATAACATTCACATACCCACACACCAAAGAATGTCTCTTAAAACAGTAAGAATCTTTCCTGTCTTATTTCTTCACTCCGTCTATATGAGTAGAGTGGTACATTGGTTCATGAACTTGATTCTTCTATGATTCTGGTCTCAAATCAAATTGAACAAGAACTGAATCAAATTCCATGGTTAGGTTCAATGTTGATCTTATAGGGAAATTGGATTTGGTTCTCATTCAATTTGATTTGTGACCAAAATCATGGAAAGAATCAAGTTCACGAACTGAAGCACCACTGTAATTGAGATTTTGTAGTGTATTTACCAATTTCATCCTTTAAATTCATTCTGCATTTGCCCATTTTGCATCTGTTACATTTATACATATTGCTATGGTAGCATATGTTAAACTTTGAGGAGAAATAGATGAGACTTCTAACTGGTATAAGAAATACAACTCTCCAAACTGTGACTAGCCTCAGCTAGAAATGGCAACTGTTTTTATATTACACTTGTGAAAATGATGCTGAGGCACTGAGATTTTCTTCGTGTTCCAGATCATACGTGTGCATCAGATCTCGGGGAGAGAGGAGAGAAGCCATCGAAAGTGTTACATGGCGACTTCTGGTGTCTGATTGAGTGTGTGAAGATCTTGGTTGAGTCGTCACTTCCTTCCACATAAGAAGAAAAATGTAGTTAAACTCAGTTCAAGGACTCTTAGTAGATCCACAGGAGAATGAAGGTCACCGGTGACTCACTGCCTCCAGAATTGGGGAGACAGTCTGGTGGATATGGATATTAAATACACATGTGGGAGCAGAAGCCCAGGAACAGAAAGCCCCAGGGGTACCCACACTGTGTTAAATGGAGGCTCAGTGTGTACAAGTCCCAGAGAGTCAAACTCCGGTGGACCAAGACTTATCAAGGCCCCACCCAGCTTTCACAATGGAGATCAGAGCCAAGTCCCCTCATCCTTCTGTAGCGGGAGGGGAAATGAGCCTTCATGAAGTAGCTGGAGCATTCTGTTCTTAGGAAGATCTTTTCTCAGGAGCAGCTCTTTTGCCAGAGTCTAACCGATGAACCTGTGCAGAGCCTGAATCTCCAATGCCACCCTCCTTGCTTTCCCCGGGGAAGATGGGGAGGAGACCTCAGGAGCGTACTGAACGGCACAGCTGAGGGACACAGGCTCAGTAACAGACTGAGAGCTTATCATCGGGCTGTAGGCTGTATCTCCTCCCTCTCTCCCCCTCGAACACATTGAAGGTTTCTGTATACTAACTCAGAAATATTACTGAAAGAAGCACACTGCTCAGACCGGATCATACTCAAACTTAAGAAAATCAAGGACAAAGGGAATTTTGAAAGAAACCAGGGAAAAAGAAACTTTTACTTAAGGGGAGCAAAGATAATGAAAATGGACTTCTCTTTAGAAATCATGAAAGCCAAAACAAATCTAGTAAAATATTTATACTTGTGAAAGGAAAAAAAATTCTCACTCTGTAAAATTCTGTACTGAGTGAAATCATCCTTCAAAAGTGAAGTACAAAAATAATGTCTTTTTATAGATGGAATTTGTTGCCTGTGGATATGCTGTGGAAGAAATGTTAAAAGAAATTATTCAGAAACAAGAAAAATAGCATGTGTCAGAAACCTGGAGCAACATAAATAAAGGGAGAGTGTTAGGGGATATGTGAGGGTAAAATAAAATATTTTTCTCATTCTAAACTGATGTATGACATGATTGTTTAAAGTAATAATGGCAATGTTGAAATTTGGTGACAAGTGACAGTGGTGTTAGGACAGATGGGCGGGGGGAATTAGGACTGTTCTGAATTCCCTGCACTGCTGTGAGGTGGTACAATGTCATCTGAAAGAAGACTGAGTCAGTTGTAGAGTGCAAACTCAAGGATGACCACTAAAACAGCTTATAAATGAAAATGAAAATGTAGGGGCTGAGGATTTAGCTCAGTGGCATAAGTGCCTGCCTGGCAAGCACTAGGTCATGAGTTGGATCTCTGGTACCAAAAGAAAAAAAATTAAAATACAAATGTAATTGAACTAACGAGAGAAATAAAAATCAGAATAATATCAAATGCTCAAAAGAAGACAAAAATAGTGGAAGATGAAAAGAAGCCAAGAACAAAAGCAGCAGATGGAAAACAGTTACAAAAACTGTAGATATTAGTATCATCATGGAAAAGTTTTACTTATCAAAACCGGTTTTTACTGTAGTAAACAAGGTTGCAGTTACGCTGACTACTGTGTGGATCTATTTTTATCACTTACTAATTCTGGACTTTTCCTAGGTTTCTTTCTCTCTGCCTTACTTTTTTCATCTTTTGAAAGGGATGAGCAGCCTGTTCAGTAGCAGCGTCTGGAATCCCAGCACTTGGGAGGTTGAGGAGGGAGAATTGCTATAAACTTATCCTGGGCACACAGTGAGTTCAAAGCCTGCCTGCGCTACCACACGGAGACCCTGTCTCAAAAAATCCACCCCTTGCAAAAAGAGAAAAACTCAAAGAGGGGAATAGGGAAGAATAATAACCAACCATAATACTGTAGATTTAAATGAGATAATACACAGTAAAATCTTCACTGCAGCACCTAGCACAGAATAAGCACTCAATAAGTCGGGGCTGGAGATTTAGCTCAGCGGCATAAGCACCTGCCTTGCAAGCAGGCGGTCGTGAGTTCGATCCCCGGTACCGATAAAAATAAAAAAGACAAAAAAAAAAAAAAAAAAAAAGACAAAAAAAAAAAAAGCACTCAATAAGTGCTAACCTACCCTACCACTATTTTCTGAGAGAGAAGAAAATTGTATATTAAATACTTATTCTCTAATAGGCACAGTGTTGATGTTGTGCTGATGCAGTTTGAAATGTGTTTAGCTTATTAAATAAAAATACCATACCATATATGCATAGAGTAAAATTAGAGAATACAACAAGTGTGTGTGTGTGTGTGTGTGTGTGTGTACAAGCATGAGAGTGAGATAAAGACAGACAGCGAGAGAGCGAGAGTGCACATTGCTGAGGTATGTGTGTGTCCCATGAGTGTGGAAATCCTGCTCTGCACGATGATGTACTGGGAGTTTGGTGACGAGGGACTTGGCTATGGGAGCAGGACTAGTGCCTTTTAAAGGGGGCTGCAGAGTGTGATCCTTCTCCAGGCAGGGAACCTGCCTTCCCGGTGCATCCCAGGCTTCAGAATGGTGAAAACCAAACCCCCTTGTTTATAAGCTGCTGGTTAGTAGCACTTTGTAATAGCAGCCTGAGAGGGTTAAGAAGACACCGTTCAGTAATAACCATTGGCAACATTCTGATAAACAACTTTTTCTGACTTCTGGACGTGTGTCCGCATGTGTGTGTAGGTAGTTAAAGATTTTACACGTGTAATATTTAAAATCTTTTAAGTGTGTACTTTGTTTTAAAATTGGAAAGAAATGCTTTGCATTGCTGTCCTATCGGATGAAGGGAATTCAGGGAGATATAAGGGAATTAAACACGATGGCAGTCCTCCCACCAGAAATTGAGGCCACTTCATGCATCTCTGACGCTGGCTGCTGGTATCTCTGGGAGCTCAGGCAGCAGAGGGAGCAACAGAACCCCCACTTTCAGCCCACACTGAAGAGTGGTGGGAGGGGAGGACAGAAAGGTCAGATCCAGGACTTTGGCAACGGCGAGACCTATTGCAAAAGCCGCTAGAATTCTGTGAAGGCCTTGTGTTTGTCACAGGCCCAGAGGAAAATGAAGCCGGAAGAGAAGCTGATGCTCTCTCTGCTGAGCTTGCTGTGTGCCTCCTCTCACACAGAGGTGGGCTGTGAGGAGGCACACCTTCTCCATTCCCCCACCACCGGGAGTCCCGGGAAGGGGTGCACCTGATTCTCTTTCCCATGAGCCTTTGCCCTTTCTGCTCCCCAATAGGGTGGTGGCAGGTAAAGCTCGGGTGTTCCCAGCCACATTCCTAACATGTGAAGAGGATGCATCAGAAGCTCACACCCTACAGTCAGGCCCAACTGTTCACTGCTTCTCCTTAGTTCCACTTTGATGGCTCCTGGAGTAAGACATGGACCATTCGAGTGGCAGGTGGAGCCGCTGTTTTAATGGCCACTCAGCACTTTCCAAAACAAAGCCCTCTTCACTTTACAGATGAGTGTACTTGTTAAAAGTGTTTATTGTAGAAAGTTTGGAAAACATCAACAGAGAAAAAAAACATACAAGTAGTGACCCTGCCTCCTATAAGGTTTGTGTTTACCAGGCCTGTGTTTCCTCTGCACATTTACTTATATAAAATTAACAAAACACGAGATCACAGCGAACAAATGTCTTTAGAACCCACCCTTTTCACCTACTAGAATAGCAGAAGCATCTTTTCATATTGTCAAATGCTACTTAACGTCACGTTTTCCCTTTCCACTGCATTTTTAAAGCAGTGCTCCCTACAGATGGTCTCTTCTTTGTTTGAGGCCCATTTTTATTGGCTGCAGGTGCAGTAGCAGCAGCTGCAACAGGAACTCAAGTTTCCCATTTTGCGTAATGGAGGCTCTTTTCTCCATCCATCTCCATGAAGCCAGCGAGTTTGTTTTGTGTAATTCCCATTACTTACACTGCAGAGCACTTACCCCGCAGATGCCTACCGTGAACTGGCGCCTTTTGTACGGTGCACGTCTGGAAATGCTGGCGAGGAGTGGGCTCCCATGTCCCCTGCGTGGCGGGTCATTGTCACTGAGGGGAATCTACTACTATGTAGGCATCTTCTACATCTGAGTGCAATCTCAGCCCCTTTACTGAGAGATAGGCCGGTGTTTTTAGTGAGGTTGCTTCTGGGGTAGCTTTGCCACAAGATGTTTTTTGCTGCATGATTCGAAGCAGAAGAACATCTTTTGACAGGTTTGAACCCAGAGTCCACTGAAGAATGAAAAGCATGACCAGAGAAATATGAGAAAAATGTTGATCATGTGATCTGGCTTTCATCTGGCTTGGATTTCTTGTTGTCACTCTTAGGAAAACTCACCCAGCAGTTAATTATTTCCTCCTTGCAGGAGGCTGTAAGTGGGCCTTACTTGCAGGAGCTCAAAACTGAGTTAGGGATGGCAGGGTGAGTACAGGCTTAGCGTCCTCAAGCAGCTGGGTTCAATCCTAGGCACCCTCTTACCCCCAAGAAGCAGAATCAGGTAACTGCAACAGACTAAGCAACTGAGTCAGTTTGTTAGTACAAAACAAAACCCTTAGCTGGTGTGGTGGCACATGCCTGTATTCCCAGCACTCAAGAGGCTGAAATAGGAGGAGTTCCATGAGTTGGAGGTCAGCCTGGACTACATGGTGAGCTCAAAGTCAGCCTGAGCTACACAGGGAGACCCTGTCTTATGCTACAACCACCAAAAAGGATAAAAAAAAAAAGTAACTTTTGTCACTAATCTAAATGACATATGTCCTTGCCATAGCTCTGTTAGTTTTTCAGGACACTTGCTTTTGGGGGCCTCGCTGACTGTGGCTATGTTGGGACTCAGTCCAGGTTGCAGGGGGCGGGGGTGTCTCTCCGAGTCTGCCCAGGCCCTTTGCCTTTTCCTCCTCAGCTGGACTGTTGTTTTCTGCTCTGTGTCCCTTAGACCCAATTCTGGGTGTATTTGAGTTTATAACTTTCATTTCCCTTTTTACTGTAGTTCTTCCTTCCTCATCTCTGGCCTCCTTTGACCTCTTTGGCCTTTCTCTCTGGGACTCAGCTGGTCACCTGGCCACTGCGATGGAGGCACCTCCTGGGCAGTCGATGTTGAAAGACTCTGCTGCCACCCGGCTCTGCAGCTCTGCGGTGCTGGGAGGCTGTGGGCTGCAGGGAGTGCACGTCCATCTCTTCAACCTGGACCTCCTGCGCCACATGTGCTGTCTGAGGCCCACTAAGCGTCAGCTGCCCAGAGGGCCCTGAGACTAGGACATACCTGCACGGGCAAGTCTCGATTGAGAGATGCTACAAGGGTAAAACAGACACTAGGCATGGAGTTCCTAGGAGGGCAAAAAATGTGAACTATCTCATTAATTTCAAAACCATCGATCACCTGCTAAAACAGTATTTTGATCAGTGGGCTTGAATCACATATACCCCTGAAATATCTTCACTTGTTCCTTATTTGTGCCAAGAAATATAAAATCATCCCTCGGCTTATACGCGTGGCCTGTGCTGTCTGTATGATATCAAGAGTGTGGGTCTTTGAACAGTCACTCAGCACAGGCAGTCTTCCAGCCACCAAGGGACCAGAAACTTCCTTTAGAGGCCGTTATGATTTCCTGTTCTTACTTATTTTTGCATCTTAGAAATGGGAATAGTATGACTTAGAAGTAAGGATATATACTTATATATTTTTCTATTCATTTACCCTAAAATTAAATTCTTTTTTTTGGTACTGGGCATTGAACTCACAACTTCATGTTTGCCAGGCAAGTGCTTATGCCACTGAGCTAAATCCTTGACCTAAATCTCCAGCTAAATCCCCAAAATTAATTTAAAAGAATAAGATGATCAGAAGCCACATCTTACCCATGATTAGATTTCAGTCTCTAATAAATTCAGATTTATTTATTTGGGTTTTTGAGGCAGGATTTCTCAATGTAGTTCAGGCTGGTCTTCAACTCACTTTGTAGACCAGGCTGGCCTTGTACTCAAGGAGGTTCTCCTGCTTCTGCATCCTGGTGCTGAAATTACAGACTTGTGCCACCACACTTGGCTGTGATACCTAGATTTTAAAAGTGAGCTTAGCCCTTCCTCTAATTTTGTTTTTTATTTTATTTTAAAGATAATAAAACCCAACAAAACAAAACAGAATAAAGCCAATCAAGACAAAGCAGGGAAATTGGACAGAACTTCAAAACTAGATACTGGGAAAACAACAATATCTACCACAGTATATCTTATCTTCTATAGCTGTCCATTCCATCAGGTATAGCAAAATCAAACCAAAACAAAACAGTATAAAACCAATTCAAACAGAACATTGAACAAGGCAAAGTAATTAATCAGAACAAAGCAAAACAGTGGAAACAATATTGGATTTCAAAGGCAAGATAGAAGGAAATGCCCCATATTTGCTATATTGCATACGGTCATCCTCCCAATAGATGGTCTGCAGCTGGCCCCAGGCCTGTAAAATCAACCAAACAACACAAGCATTTGTACCTTAGTTGCTATCAACTCAGCTGTCCTCCAAACCAGGCGGTTCCTTACTGGTATGTGTGTAGGTGGAGGGGGTAGGTTTGATTTTCAGCCTCACGGGAAGTGATACCTGACCTTTCTCTTTCTGGAACCCACATGACTTACGCAGCTTACCAGAAAGCCTGGCTGGTTGGCTTCTTGGTTGAGTCCTCCCAGTCTTAGCATGGCTGACTCTCAGGAGGTAGTGACTTTTTCTTTGATTTTGTTCTTGAGTATTCCTTAATATTCTGCATGGGGAAGACCATCAGATGCTTACTGTGACTGTGGACTGAGCTCTAGGGGTCCTGTGCTCAGAGTGGTCTGCTCCCTCCTCTCTCCCTTCTCCCTTCCACCAGAGTAGCTCAGATCACCTTCAGAGATGGATCCACAGCCCAGAGATCTGCAAAGAGGCGGGGCCCACCCTCAGTGGTTTTCTCTCCTCC